AGGTACCTGTGCCAATTAAAATCGACACTGTCACACTATTTGATTTTTAAACTTTGACACTCAAACGCCAAATAATTATTAATAACGTTAGTAAGTCATCATGTATCCAACACAGGACAAGCTTATCACAAACACATGTGGTACAATGTATGTGTAAATATTTTACTAACTTCGATCTTTAGAAGATAAGTATTTACTCACACCTAATACTATAACCATGTCCTATATAGACATCACGACGAAATCTGCAAACACTGCAGCGCGGTTCACACAATTTCATTCGCGAACAATTTTAAAGTTTTCACACCATTTTAAATAATAATATATAATATAGGTAGAGAGTCATTTAAACACGATTTTTTCCATAGATTATTGTATAATGTACTATTTAAACTCAAGGCTGGGCATTATACCAGTTAAAAATTAAAACTAAGTTGCGTAATAAATATAATAATGCGAGTTACTTATTTTTGAATCAACTTTTTTCTGTATTCACCTAATTTATAATAAGTTCCTATTACGAGTTGATGAAACATTATTGAACTTTCTGAAAGCGTTTTTCGTTCCTTAACTATGATATTTGTTCACTATCCTTAAAAAATAACGATTGGTAGTTAGTAGGGACCCTAATATTGTCGTATTAGCAATAATTGGAATTCCATAATTTAATAAATAGTATTATATAATAGGTAGTCATCAAGACTTTATAATTAAAGTATATTCTATATTATCTGGATAAATACATATAACTATTTATGTATGTATATAATTGATTATAATAGTATATTGTTCCATCCGTTAATGATCATGTACTCGATTGTTAAAAACACATACTAGTTCACATTAGAGCATTTAAAATAAAAATAGACTATGTTTGAATAACGCCATCAGTTTTCTTCTTCTTTCGCTTCAAAATTCTGTAACTATTCTCCAATCTTCCCAATTCGTTGAGTTCATGTTTCCAGATCCTTTCTCACTCAATCTATATAATATATATATTTATATATCGCAGTCGCTTACTTGGAATTTATCCATTAATGCCGTCATTGCATAGAATTCGTTTATTGTTAACTTTATAATTATTTAATGTTTATAAATTATTATTTATCACCCATATATTTTACTCAACTGTAAAAACTTACTTTTGTTTTAGTCGTAAAAGTAAATGTTTATTTTTGGGTGAGAAGCACTAGTAATCATTTATTCACTTCGATAAACTAAAAACATGTTTTCCTAATTAGGCGTACAATTATATGCCATAAACATTATACACAAAAACATACCCCAGAACTACAGTTCTCACCATCAAATTATTCAAGTGAGTTCTAAATTTCTCATGCACATTTCATTTATTTTAAGTGTTGAAATACACACACACATTACGCACGTTAAATGTATATATAATATATATATATATATATATTCGTTTTAATTAGATGCTATGGAAGTAATGGTTAAAAGAAAATAATACCTATGCTATATTTTCTTTTGCAAAAACATACACATATTTGTATGTGTTTTGCTGAACAGCTATTGTAACTTAACACTGAATTATCCTGCCATTACCACAGTCTCTATTGAAATCTTGACCCAACTGTAAATGTATGCGTATATATGTATATTGTACTATTTTTTATTACAAAAATAATACATAGAGTCAATTATAATTAATGTCTTCAGGGTATAAAATATAAATTAATAATCATGAGTGAGTCTGGTCAGACGTTTTGACCGTTCGACGGTCATTTTCAGAATGGCAATCGCTATAATTTAAAATATTTATATATAATAAATACATGTACGATTGAAGTTCTTATCTTTATTATTATTAAGATTATGTCAACGTTACATAAAACGTATATATATATATATATGTCTACACTACTTATAAAAACTAAATAAAGTCTAAACTTAAACCAAAACATAATTTTGTGGCCAAATTAAACAAATTATCAAGCAACTTAATTCAATAATTTATTATTAGCGTGTTATTAAAACGTACAACAAGAACCACAGTCCTAATGTCTGGAGCCTTTTAGACTCAAAACTAAACTACCGGTTTCAACGAAAGTTTCGGTGATTATTTTTAGAGATATCAGGAAAGATTAGAGAATAGTTTGAGCCTGCACATTCAAAAATACATAAAGAGCTTTATCCGATCTACCGCAGTCAGATAGAAAAGTCGGGTTATACAGCTAGTATACGTATTAGCCATTGGGTATATATTTAGTTCTTAATCGAAACGATCTAATATAGAATGCAATAAAATATAAAAAAACACTTATTTAATCAAGAAATTTAAATATTCCCCGCACCCCCACTCCAAATCTCAACACTATTAACGAATTCCTAGTCAACACGTCACAATTACCAATTGTTTTAATTGTAGTACACTCTTTTAATAATTTATTAAAGTTGTTAAGTATAACTGAAAACTTAAAACGCTGCAGTAGCTGCTAAAATTCGCTGAAACTCGTAAGGTACTTGAAATTTAATAATAATAATAATAATGTCGGAGTACCTAAACATCTAATACCTATATGCGTTGTTCATCTGTATGATTATTATAATATTCGAATCACGCAAAAAGAATGAAAGATATCAACTTCGAAATGACATCCATACCGGCATCTTGGTTACCGTGATAAGTATAAAGCACTATAGAAGGCTCCGTATCATATTATGGCGTAATTATACGTACGGGTCATAATACTCGCCTTGCACCTTATAATATATTGTTATGTTATCTAATCTGTATGCGTATGCCAAATGCGAAGGTAAGGGGTATACCGTTTCGTAGCTAAAAAACGACATTACCAAAAATGCGGCATTGGCAGCCGTATAAGCATTAAAAAATTAAAAAATTATATTGTAAATGTTTGCTTTTATTCGGTATTATATAGTATTAATAACAGACGGTTCCATTTCGATTTCGTGTGTATTTATTACTATTACATTTATTGACCACAGAAGTAGGTACTTCCGATTGTCACAAGAATTATTATTCCTCACGAATCATAATAATTTCGGGATCATAATTATAACACTATTGAGACTATATCATAATAGGTTATGTTTTAGATTTAAAAACGTCGAAATAATTCAAGTAAAATAATTGTTATTTTATAAAAGTACTAGAAGACATATTATATCGTACACGACATACCTATGACATTACGATTTTAGCTCGTGTAACATATAGGTATAATATATAAGTAGCGTTGTGGTCCCGTCAAGTCTTCTCATATTATTATATATCAAACATTTGATCGTGTGATCGTGAGGTGGTTAAAAAAAACATTATTTCGATGAATAGAATAATTAATAGTCACCACGTCTCCGCATCGCAATAATAATAATATATCCCATTCGTTGTCACGCGAAAAAATTTATTAAATATATTCTTAAGCCTATACATTCATACGGGAATCACTACAAAAGAGCCTTATTGTATTGTTTGTTTCGTAGACGGCATCTTAAGAATGTAATAAATAATAATATTATACTATGATGGGGTCCTCGAAAAACCGTTCGCTCATATTGTGTTGTTTGGCATACGCGTTGTAGAGTACAATATATTTTATGTTCAATAATATATTTTTATATTTTATATCATATTTTATAAACATACACCAAGTGATTACTTTAACATTAATTACTCATCGTACAGTATTAACGTTTTTTTTTCTTTACATATAAACCTAAAAGTAATTACAACATAGAGGATTTGCTATTTTTTAAAGTTATAATTTTTGTAGTAATAAATACACATACTAATATTTTATCGATTTAAATTATTTGTAAACCCAATTGGTAATTGCCCATGTCGCCGAGGGTATTGTATCGAAAAAAAAAATGTTTAAAATTTTAATGTTTAGATAACGGAATATAATATCACTCCAGGGATAATTAATAAGTTGTCGTTTCAATACTCCACTAGTGTAAACTCTTAAAGTTTAAATGAGTACTCTTAGTCTTCGCTAAATAACTGTTCGTTTGAATTATATTTTTAAATTCTCAGAAAAATTCTTTGCTTTGAGGTAGCAAATTAAAAATGCATATCTTCTGTTAATCAAAAAAGTAACAAAAGAGTAAAAAAATAATGATGTTAAAAGATATTATATTGCGAAAATATAATTGTTTTCAAAATTATCGTTGTTTGTTGCAAAGTATGTTAAAAATAAATATTTTCAAAAATATTAATACTTTTCAAGATAATATTTGCTTATTGACTACTGTATAGTGTGAATACGAAGGTATGGCCGATCATTGAGTAACTGCAGTTATGGGTGCGGTACATCTAAGCATTCATTGTCGTGTCTTATTAAATATTTTGTATTCGTGGCGTACACGCTCGTTACAGAGCACCCGAAAATGTGTAGGTACAAAATCAATGTTTTGACATTTCTCCAGTGTAAAATAGTATAATATTATTATATAGAGATAAGAGTTGTATTATATATAACTACAACATATTATTATATAACTTTATAATATATTATATAATTTGATAATTATTATTATAACATTGTCCTATGGTGGATGTCGGTAACACAAATTTTCACAGCTCGGAATAATTCTACTGTCCTATTTTATTCATTCCTCGCTCACTCCGAATTTCAACTAGACATTTTATGAGGCATAACACAATTTTTTTTTCCTTTTCGGAAGTCGAAAAATGTAAAAATTCCTAAGTTAATACCTAAGTATAACTGATAGTATCTATAAGTATTATTATTATTATGACATTCGTACATTTGACGATATGTTTTTTCTATGAATAGCCCTCAAATATTAATATAACTTTTAAATTTAAATAATAAAGTATACAGCTTTAAATTTTGTATGAATATATTACTAGCTCAATATAGTTTAATATTTTGTTATTTTATATATTTTATACATACCAAAAATTGTTCTCCCAAGTGTTCTAACTATATACTGTTATAATTTTTTATTATTATTACGAATTATAATTGAACACTCTGTTCTGTATACAGATACGGAGAGAAACAGAGGCGTGCCGATAGCCAAGAACTTTCCGGTATTCAACTGTTGTCGGCCACGGCTTATCAGTTGAAAAAACCGTACCAACAACTCCTCATACCGATCACCATTTGGATTGGGATGGAACAAGCTTTCATCGGAGCCGATTTCACGCAGGTCAGTCATTGCACTTACGTGATTTTAAATTATTATTTTTCATTGTTATTGTTATTAAGTAGAAGCTACAATTATACATAGATGTTGTATTTTAGCTTCAAGACTAGTGTGTGCTGCTTTGTCGACTATTATTATTGATTTAGTAAAATTGACGATGATTTTATTCGACGCTTTTCCTCGATGCTATGGTTATTATAATCGTATTAAGTTGACTGAAGTATAATAAATTAGAGTTTGACATTGTGGTATCAAAACTGGTTTTGATTTAGGATGCTAGCGGTGTAACCATCTCCCCTTCACGCGTCATAGCACTTAAATGTAACCGTTCTCTAAATTTCAAAACCGTTTTTAATCCAAATAAATAACTTACAATAAGTAATTATACAAACATACCAAGTAAAGTTAAGTACATTGTGCAATTTTGTGTATACACTTGTTAAAAAACAATCTTTTTCTTTATTGATTAGAATCGATAAAAATCGACATAATAACTTGTAGATCAAGCGTAAGAGGATTGAAAATCAAATTCTATGTTTTAATATGGATAGATTAGATAGAGGACATCGATTTTTGGATAGAGTAAAATATTAATGATGGAGTTTCATCACGCATACTCGCTTTTTACCGTGTATAACAGTATATACATTTAGTTTGTTAAGTTACGTTACACGAATGTTGATGCAATCATACGTAATTTTTACCGAACGTCAAAAAAAAAAAAAAGCTACAATGTGTGAAAAAGTTATTTGGTTATTGAAATTTTCATAAAATGTGGCAACAACACAATCGACAGTCTAACAAAAATAATTATTGAAGCTAAAAAGTAAATAGTAGTTATGAATATCTACCTACTTGCTTGTATGCGATTGGATATCAGTCTTAAACTAATTTAAAGATCGCTGTAATTTTGCCGACTAGCGATATTTAATTGATTGCAAATTTTCAAGTTTTTAATGTGTACACAGCGCGCTTGAACTTCCGGGCCCTAATAAGCAAACAACAATACAAGAGTATCATGGATAGCTAAACGTACGCAGTACATTTTTACTGTCACGAAACTGGCAGCCTATACTCGGTAGTATAACAATAATAACAATAATAATAACGCACAGTACCCACTATGATATTTACATTCACCGCAATAATATATACGTCATCATCAGCGAACAATTAATTTTTATTTCACTACAATGCGGAATGATTTTTATAGTTTCCCGTGCATGACATTAAATTATAATTTTTGTATGTAGGTAAACATGATATATATATATAATATGCATTATACGTCATAATATAAAAAATATTATATACTTTAAGTGTGTACTCGAATACTTCGTTGGGTCTTAACATATATACTTTTGTGGAGCTATTTATACCGTTGATACTTCGGCGATTATACCAACTGTCGTTAACAGCGCAGGGCGTACTGCAGCGTATACTATATAATATTATGAATTATGATAAATATGTACCTACTAACAGTACATGTGTGTATCATTTACACTTTTTGTACTACTATTTGTATACATATTTTGTGATTACATGGGTTAAACATGGGTTGGGAACTTGAAGTATAGGTAAAACTACATTGATGGTTTGTCGGAGAGTATAATAGTAACACATGAGTAGTGGCATGAGACACAAACTCTAATATTTACCTATAGATAGATAGGTACATTTAATTATACAAATTTTCGAGTCACCATGTCTATTATTTGCATTAGAACCGTGAACTTTTGGATATTAATTATAAACCGAAATTAAATATATTTCATTGAAATCAGTAATAATGTAATGGTTCACTCAAGTATGAGAAAAAATATATACTCACTTGACGTGACTTCGTGTATATGATTACATTATTATAGACGTGTATATAACTCAAGGACCTTAGATACTGTAAATATTTGAATCAAATTTTGTGCTAAACGGGAATGGGCAAATAGTTATTTTAGGTGCTCATTCAGACCATTATAAGGCGGTTTGCATGCTTCCACTGACCTCCTCCATCTATCCCAGTTCATCATAATATCCATTTATATAAATTTGTTGGTATTTGTTATATCCTCACCTTGTCCTTAACCGCAGTTTTCCCCTTGGTAATTTTTTTTTTTTTGATCTTTAACCAAGAAATGTTGAATAAACTTTCTTCAGACCGCCAAGCCAGTCCACTTCATTCGTTTTGTTTTTTGGAACAATCTGACACTAAGCTGGTTGTATAACCTTCTAGATCATCGATTTTTCGTCTTTTTTTATATTCCCTTTTTTTATTTTAAACAGTTCCATGGATTGTATGTAGAATTTTTCTTTTGAAGTTTAGTAATTCTTCTCAGTATTGTAGACTATGTCATACATTCATACCTACGTTACTATCAATCACAGATAGCAAATTGCAAGTTTGATTGCATACAGCTTAATCTTTTGTAGTCTTGGAAAGTAGCCTAGAGCTGAGCATCTTGTTTGTAGGAAAATAGGCTTTGCTTATAGTGCTTGTTATTTTTGTGTTTATGTTGATTATTAGGTGTTATCTGACTTTACATAAGGAATGCATCTGAATTACATATTTCATGAAATCATTTTGACCACTCTTTATGGGATTTCGTAGTTCATCAGCACTGTTCACAGTAGTTGTAGGCTGTTAACATTATTGTAGGCTTGCAAGTCTACAAAAATCATGAACTACACTTTATCGTGTTCATAGTATTTCTCTATTTTATTTTTTTGTATTTTCAAAGTAATTTTTAACTTTCCTTTCTTGAAACTGAAGATAATATAATATCATAATAATCGATACGCTGATTCACGAGTACCTATTTATTTTTTTTAAACATCCTATATTCAATATTGTAATATTATGTACTATATTATAATGTCGACTAATCCAAGTATCATGTCGGTTTCAGGCGTACGTGTCCTGCGCCCTGGGCATTCCATCCGTCGGGTACGTGATGATATGCTTTGGCGTGGTCAACGCAATATGTTCGCTGCTGTTCGGCACCATAATGAAATACATCGGGAGACTGCCGCTGATGGCCCTGGGTTTCGTCGTTCACTCGATACTCATATGGATCCTGATCGTATGGCGGCCGCATCCCAACAACCCCAAACTGTTCTTCACCATATCGGGACTGTGGGGCGTCGGCGACGCCGTCTGGCAGACTCAAATGAGCGGTAAGTAAATTTGGCGTTTGACATCAGTCATATTATAAAATATTTATATTAAATGAATCATAGACACCAACGCACATAAAAAGTGCTGAGCTCAAAAATATTATTTGGTCGATAAAAAAAAATTGAAAGTTTTGTGGGTCCAGACTTGGTATTCGGTTCGATCACACATAAAACAAATGTGGTTAAAATCATTTACCTACAATATTACCTTAAAAGATGTACATTATATATTAGCAGTGGTCGAAATGGCTCAAGATAAGTGGAGGGATGCCTTACAATTCAGATTTAATCCGTGGCTCTAAATACGGGTATAGATAATCTGATTGCGAAACGGCCTATACGAAAAATAAAAAGTTTTCTTATACATAGGTATAAATATAAAAATCATAATAATTATTTCATTTTAAAACACAAGTCTTAGGAGGAATGCGTTATTCTAGACAAAATAAGTAGAGGGATGAAAAATGTGAATACAAAAAAGTAAAGGGATGTCATCCCTCAGTATCCCCCCCCCACTTCGACCACTGTATATTAGGTACCTATAATCTATAATATGTACTAATAATTGAGGACTGTAGGTAATAATTAGAGCTAAGATTTTAATGACCTAAAAATACACAAAAATGCACTAAAAAAAATTCAAAATTGACCTAAAAACTCTAAAAAATGAACTTAAAAAATAACCAAAATATGTACTTAGATGAGCGAAAAAAATTTATTTTAAAAATAAATATTATGATTAATTATTAATTATGAACATAATAGACTTGTGAATGTAACCACTTCCTGATATAATTATTCTGAAAAATCAATAAAAGCATAGATTAAAATAATTTAATGAAAAATATATCATATTTTTTTTCACCTGTACACATATTATTATTTCATTGCACAATTAGACGATTCTTAAGATTTTCAAACAGGAAGCTGCGACGGCGGTCAGATAAAATGTTTTTTATATGAATTTTAACTTGGTTCAACATCCACAGAAGTAACAGGGACATATTTGAAATGAACCATATCATTTAAAGTAAAACTCGCTCACAAAACTACGTAAACGGCTTCCTACTGTTGACTTAATTTTTGGCATTTTGTACAGTTAAGATCGGTAGAACCACATAGGTACGTATCGAATTCACTACTAAAGCTACTATTGTATACTTAAATAGTTATGGGTTCGTTCAATATTTAATCTTATCGGATAAAACGACAAATAATTATATTACTTCTTCTATATCAATGGACTGGAGTAGGTAATTGCCTATAGGCTATATAGGTACTAACTGGGATTACCTTTACAACACATATTAAAAATTACCTTAAAAATGCAAAATAAAAATTACATATTTTAAATTGTTATATTACGAAACAAATTTAGTTTTTGGTTAGAATCCTATAACACTGAGAGAAAAAAAAAATGCAAAAGTCACCAAAATCCTAGCTCTAGTAATAATATTGACATAAAAGTATAAATAAGTAGGTATATAGACAATAATATATTGTCATATCAATTTATAAATTATTTACATGTATGTTGAACTATGTCTGCGATCTTTACTCGAATCGACAAATTTGAGTATTTTCTAAAATATCTTTCTGTTAATCCAGTTTCCTTATTCAAAATAAAAAATCTGATTAAATTCTCATAGAATCACACATAAGTATACTTTCTTGGAAAACGACCTAATAAAATGTTAATGATTTATGATTATTTGAATGAAACTAGATGCATGTAAATATATTGTACGTATATAATTAGTCACCAAAAACAAATACGGTTATAACCTCCACGTGGTAGCAAGCGACAGCACATCACTATCATTATACAATATATTTTAACAAATAGGAGTCGGTGGCGTTGGGTGTATACTTAGAAATAATTTCGAATTTAACCTTCATCGGAACAATGGGCGTCACAGTAAATATATAATTTTGTCAAGTATAAAAATAGTGATAAGGCGTTCCCCTATATAACTCGTATGTTGTGTTGGTACGATGGCCTGTATTTTAATTTGGTTTTCGCACTATAGGAAGTGCGGCGCGAAGAACTGAACGATTAAAATATAAAATACGTAGGTATAAAAATCATCATTCTATGTAATACAGAAGCCATCGTACACTTATAATATTATATTGTGTGAAGTTAAATCAGTTTTACATAATTTGAGGACAATTGAATTACGATGATAAGACGTATACAACAATTAAACTAATGGATAATATTGAATAGTGGACGTTAGTTGTAGTCAATGTTAAATATATTTATATTTCCTAATATTATATGTACTACAAATTACAACACATCCCACCTTTTCCATAATGAATTTTTGTTCATCAAGTTTGACAATTAAAAATCAGACACCTCCTCCTCCTTACATTCCACACGATTGAAAATGTTTGCGACATAAATTTAACGATTTTGCCAATTGAAAAAAAATTCAAAACAGAAATTTTATTTCACGTTCTAATCTGTAGTAATACATTCAGGTTTATTGTGTATATGGGTATACGACGTTTTTATTTAATCAATATCAAGTAGAAAATACTGTGCCACTGTAAATTCGACATTTGTAGAAAACAATGTCATAATTAGTGCCTTTCAACTAAATTATGCATAATCGGGACGACCCAAAACTGCACGGATATTAGTATTGAGAGTATAGGTACACATTATGTGTTTGCTCTCCATCGCAATCAAATTCATCATCGGCCGCAAATTCGCTCAACAAACTACCTACAGTATAATATCTTACCTGTTCATTAAGTCTTGTGTAACTTCAGACTTGACATACGTGTATATTTTGTTAACCTAGAATCCATTTTTATGAAATCCACATACATCTAAATAATTAATAAATATATTATGTAAATCACTTCCAATGATTTTCACTGACAGTGCTACCAGATATATAATATTGTCCAACACCTCTAACCATCCAAAACCTAAATCAAATAGGTTAGAAAATGAAATTTAACACATCTTATTATCTATTAGAACTTAGTCCTGCTCACAGTAAGACTCGATAGGTACTAACACTAGCTGGTTAATTCCGGTGGTGCTAAGGGGGGGGGGGAGGAGGATAAGACTAGGAATTTTCCCATGGCCCCGTACTTATAGTTAGGGCCCTGAAAATTTTATTGACCCAGGGCTCCACAAAACCACCAGTCTTCACTGGAGAGTTATTTTAGATAAAATAAAAATATAATATGCATACATACTTTAATTATAATAACGTAGCGGTCGATGTCCAATTGTTATTATTATTATCATCATCATTATCAATGTCGTCGTCATTAACTAATTTGCCACTATAAACCGCCATCGCACCGTCCTTGGGGGAAAACATCACGATAACGGCTGATCATTTCTATATTATTTATGCATACATATTTTTTGCATTGTTCTCTTTTTTATTTTTTTATTTTTTTGTAAGTCGACCATTGTACTGATATACATTATATGAACGACAAATGACAAGTGGACAGTTTAATTTTTCCTTTGACCTCTGGAAAACGGATAGGTACCTACATATACAATCAGGAGGCTGTCACCTAACAATAATAATATGGTGGTTATACACTTATACGTCAACAATACTAACATATATAGCAACAAATAATGTTAGGTAACACACTTTTGGGTTGGTGATTTCTCGGGAAAACCGTTCTGGTGGTGGCGGCACGACGAGTTTCCTCCGCAGATGACAACTGTTACTAGGGCAATAACTATGGTAATAATAATAATAATATAATTGTTATTTTTGAATATTTTTTTGAAAATATTTAGTTAATACGCCGATTAAAAAATATTACGTCACAGTATAGTTTCTATACAAATGATAACACGTTTTATATACTTCACGGAGATGAGTATTATTTACATTTTACAATATTAACTGATTGCCGATTTGTGACAAGAATATTATAGTTATATACCGAGATAAAGTTGCTACTGATACTGAGTATTATACACGAGGAGTTCATGTCCCGATGTAAACACAATTTGATTTATTAAAATTAGAATTAAATCAGTTTTTTGTGCTAGATTAAAATTAATAATATCGGATTCAACAGTTCATTTCGACGATTTGATAGTTTGGTAGGTAGGTTTAGATCACACTTCGTAACATCATTGTATGTCAAAATCATACCTAGATACTTACTTATAAAATAATACCTGTACACATGCATAGACACATTCTTTTTTTCAAACAAAGACGACCGATCAACTACAAACCAAAAATTATCGGTTTTTGATTTTTTTTCTGATATCTATCCGACTGCAGGTGCATACCCGACATCGTGTGATTATTATATTGCATATTATTATATTGTGAATCGCAATGCGGCCATGTTACGTATGTTATATTATGTGCACTGTGCAGAAGTGAAATACAATAATAATTTTTGAAACTCGCGACAGTGAACGCGCCGACTCGAGTGCTTACAATGTAATTTATAATGGAAAATATTATATTATTATGTGAGTATATTATATAGACGTACGCGAAGACGGTTCAGATAAGAAAAAAACCGATTAAATTTGTCACCCGCTGATACCGCACCGATTGTTTTGATGCATCGTATATTATATACATAATATTATGCATACTTGTATATATTTTAATTTCCCATCAAGGACCATCCATGGTAACGGAGGTCGCGTGCGTGCCTGTCGCCTGACAATAACAAGCAAGTGCGAATGTTTTATGAAATTATAATATTATTATAACTACATTTTTATAACGGGGAAAGAGTGAAACAAAAAGTTGTATAATTAAAATATTATAATCAGAGCTCGGAACTCATATCGTCAACACATTATTTTTGGGTTGTGTCAATAGGGTTTAATAGTTTTTCGTACTATTCCACTACGAAGTCCTGCACTATTTTATAAGCATTATTTTTCATGTATTTCAAGAGACGTCCATTTCGAAAATTTGAATAGCATCAAACAATTCATAATATGTTGCATATAAGGAAGCTACTGCTTAATCATT